TCCAAACACAGGCAACAGAAAATGAGTATTGAGCTCAAGTAGTGAAATCAAGTAGAGAAATCTGGTTTATACTTGTAACAGAAGATCAATTTACACCATTTTATCTAATTTAATGTTGTTGCCCAAACAATCTCATTTCATTATTCTAGATTCTACTTTGAAGGTTTATAGAGGAGTCTCATAAGTCTTTTTAAATGATTGGGGATGTTTTCTGCTTTAGTTTTTCATAAAAAAAATTACAGAACCACTTTGGTAACTTTTTTCCATTCAGCCATAGCTGTGATTATAAGCAAGAAAGAAAAAGTGGCATTCAGAATCAATCAAGGAGATGTTAAAGGAGCTCTAACTTAGCTTTACCTTTTGACCTCTCTATATAAAGTTTGGTTTTCCCAACCCTGCTGACTGGTACAGTTGAGACCAGTGACCCTCTTTCTTATGAAAATATTGTTTTACACAGAACTGGTTTTCATTATATCAAATCCCATTGGAATGACAATTCAAAAAAGAAAAAAGGAAAAAGAAAATGGACAGAATAAAAGAATACAAACTCCCTGAAGTATTTTCTTTAAACTTTTACTAAAAGATGATAATAACCCTTTATATGGACTGAATTCTATGCCTACTGAAAATTCATATGTTGAAATGTTTAGCTCCCAATGTGATACATTTGAGAGGTGTCTAGGTTATGAGGATAGAACCTTCACAAATAGGTTTAGGTGCTTATTCAAAAAGAGACCCCAGAAAGCTCACCTTTTACATAAAAAATATTCTATGAGAAAATGGCAATCTGCAACTTTGAATAGGTCTCTCATCGTCCTAGTATTCTAATCCTGACTGACTCGAGAACTCTGACAAATAAAAAAGGCCCTCCCGTTGATCATCGATTTGCTCAAGCGGGCCCAGTAACGTCTCCATTGGAGACTTTGTTGTTACTGTGTCTGGCATATCGAATACTCTCGGTAGCTTGCCGGGCTCTCCGAGAGGGGTAGAGGAATCGAACTCGGGTCGGCCATGTTGGCTGCGTGCAAGGCAGACGCCCTACCCGCTGTGCTATTAATTTCTATTATATAAACCATTAATGTTCCCCAAACATAAAATTTTATGTCATGGACTTAAATAATAACTCACAAGGTAAAGCTTCTTATAACATTAAAAATTATGGAGAGATTTAACTGAAATATTATAGAATTAGAAACATTTGTCAGTATTTGAATTATTCAATTATCAGTAATTGATTAACTCTAAAGATGCAATCAAAGATTCCAAGATATATCCTTCCATAAAAGGACATAGAAATATAAGCAAAATAGAATGTGTAAATTATATAAAGCACTAAATTAAAGCAAATAAATTATACCCTATATTCTGGGGCAAAAAAACATAATGGAATACAAAACGAACCGAATTTAAATTCAGTAGTATTCAAATTCACATACATACATACAAACATAGAAATAAAACATACAAACATATATATGAACAAGATCATAAACACACTTATTAATATGATTATTTATTAAAAATAAGGGTAGGAATTCTAAATAAATACAAATATCATAAACAGCAATACTGAAGTGTGGCCTCCAGATCAAGACTATGTTATCAGAAATATCATATATAATTAGGCTCTTTTAAGCTGGAAAGACCTTATGCAAAATTACATATATGAAAGTGAACTCAATATATGCTTTTTTCCCAAGGAGGGGCTATGTTTGAAAATATAAAAAGTCTTCATTGGGTCTGTTCCACGGCTTAGAAGCAATAGCACATGCTGGGGGAAAAAGCAGCTCAGATAGAGAAGGGAACATGAAGTAAAGGATGTTTGAAGGATTCGCTTGGGATGAGAGATGCGTGCTGAAAGTAGACTATAGACCAAACACGATGGCCACTCAACACCTACATTGCAAACCACAACACCCTAAAGGAAAGAGAGAGCAAAAGGGAATGCCCTGCCACAGAAGTGGGGCAGGATGGGATGGGATGGGGTTGGGGGGTGGGAGGGCTACTGGGATCATTGGTGGTGGAGAATGGGCACTGGTGGAGGGATTGGTACTCTATCATTGTATAACTGAAACTCAAGCACTGAAATTTGTAAGTTTACAACTGTACCTCATGGTGTTTTACTAACAAAAATATAAAAAAATAAAAATTTTAAAAAAGTCTTCATTGATTAGAGACTGAAAAGAATATCCAATAACTATTTGTGAAAGCACTTTAATGATTGTAATAGAGAAAAGCTAATAGTTTTAGGATACAAAGTCCAACATATTATCAAAGAAGAACTTTTATCACAAAATACCCTGGAAAGTAAAAACTAAAACACTTTTTTTCACTGAATAATAAAAAAATCTCCATTAATAATCTTATATATCCTTAGGGATGAGAGAATGTCTATGAAGTAGGCACTGAAAATATTGGGAGACAGTGATCTAACTGGGATAATTAGTACTGAACATAAGACTATTGGGAGGTAGTGGTTATTTTACCTGCAATATATTTTGTGGGGTTCTTTCATAAATTTCCTGTAGGGAATATTAGTTTCATGTCTATAGTTAAAGGTTCATGAAAGCAAATAAAAAAATTCCTTTGTCGCCAATTTGGGGAGATGAAATGCTAATTAAGGATTTGTAACCTGTGATCTTTTTGTCATTACAGTCTAACTCTATTTGCTGATACATCTCAAATATTTAGCTGTCACTGTCACTGTCCCTGTCCTCCCGTTGTTCATCAATTTGCTCAAGTGGGCTCAGTAACGTCTCCATTGTGATACTTGTTACTGTGTTTGGCATACCAAGTACGTCACGGGTAGCTTGCCAGGCTTTGCTGTGTGGGCGAGATACTCTCGGTAGCTTGCCGGGCTCTCTGAGAGGGCCAGAGGAATTAAACCTGGGTCGGCCAGGTTGGCTGCATGCAAGGCAAACGCCTTACCTGCTGTGCTATCGCTCCAACCCAAATATTTAGCTATTAGCCCTTTTTTTCCTAATAACAGATGAATATCCAATCTACTCTGGTAAATACTTTTTACAGAGGTAATATTACCTTTAAATATAAAAACAAATTTACCTTTAAATATTTATTAAATAAATATTACAAAGGAATTATTTTACTTTAGACAGTCTGTTGAGCTAATAAGAGTTAATTTCTACCTGAGACTGAGAATAAGAATATGTCCTTTATTTACAACAGTCACATATTAAGAAACTCCTTCACTATTATTAAGAAGATACAAGGAAAATCTAAGTGGTCTTTCTTTGCTATGATACATATACCTTGAAGGGTCTATTCCTTCCCATTTTGTGTAGCTAACTAAAGAGCTTCCCTAGGTCTGAGACTGCTCAAATACTAATTATTACAACCTAAGCACTGTGTAACATACAGATAAACTACTAAGGTACAAGGAAAGATAAATCATTCAATTTTCTGGAATAAATGTATCTATCATGCTGAGTGAAGTCAGTCAGGAGAAGGACAAATACAGAATGATCTCTCTTATATGTGAAACATAAAGAAATATATTATAGAAGCAAAAAATGGTCAATATTAATAGATTTTGGGAGTTCACCTACTGGACTGAGTTTATCAAGAAAGAGTAGTGGTGAGTGATGAAAGGGGTCTTGAGAGAATCGTGAATGGATGCTGACACTCTGGTGATGGGAGTAATGTTGGTACAAAGTATGACAGACTCCATTATTAAAAGTATTCTAAAGCATGGTTCTAAGTAAAATTTGGAAATAAAAAATGATAATTGGTATAACATGGAGGTCATAGTCATCCATCATTCACTAGAAATCCAAGAAGGTATTAAAAACAAGTTATTTGTAACCTACAAAAAATTAAGGTTCTTCAATAAAGGAGGTCAAAGTTAGCTAGGCATCTGATGTCACTAGAAGCACTAGGGTTAAGGAGCAAAATAAAATATCAGATCTCGGCTGAAGGAAACACATCAGTGGGCACCATCTGGCAACATTCTTTCAGGGTTGGATACAGAGAATAAAAATAAATGAAGGATGCCTGAGGTTTAGCAAGAAAGGAAGCACCTAGTCATTCAGGAGAAAATCAGGTAACTTAACTCCTACATCCCCATGCTTACCACCATCACTCACACTGTTCCTCTATTCTGCCTTCTTTAAAACTCTCACCATTAAGGGTAGTATGAGCTAACAGAAATGATTTGCAACCAGAAAAGTCTGACTGAAAGTTTGGCTCATAGAGGCCAGGAAAACTTGAATTAGTTTTAAAATTTCCTATCTCCATGTCTGTCCCAAGAGGGTAATAATGGAAAAATATATATATATATACTTTTATATATATATATATATATATGTAAGCATGCTTAGATACTTAAAGTACGTAACACACTCTTCATTACCTATTGTCAAGAAAAATCAAATCAAAACAAAAGGAGATATCATCTTACACCACCGACAATGGTGTATATCATTGACCAAAAAAGACCAAAAATAACCAGTGTTGGCAGAGATGCTATGAAAAAGGAATGCTTATATACTTTTAGTGAGAATGACCTCTGGTTCAGTCTCTGTGGAAAGCACTTTGGAGATTTCTCAAAAATGTAAGAGTAAAAGCCCTTTATGTCCATGTGATTCCATTACTTGGCATCTACCCCAAAATACAAAAAAACATTCATTGGAAAAAAATATATGCACTCCAATCCAAGATTGGAGCATGCTTAAAGTGATGTTTTTTACTATGGAAAATTTAACTTTTACTGGGTACTTGTGTTTTTATTTCCTAAATTTGATAATCTTATATAGAATATATGAAATGAAGTTTTTCAAATTTATATATTATTCTCTCCCATCAGTACAGTTTCTTTTTTATTTTTCCCTAGAATCAAGAGGTCTGCTTACTGCAAAAATAAGAAAAGGTGAGAAAATTTTCAGTCAATCTTTTTATAATCATAATTTCTTTGACAAGTTTCCACCATAAAAAAACTATTGTTTATGAAACATACACTCTGAAGAGATCAGTATTTTACTTACCTGTGGGTAATGTATGAGAAGGCCAAATAGTAAAATATTTGTTTTTTTCACCTCCTGTGCATATTCTCTAATCTTCATGAGGCTTTCCATTTTCTGACCAAAAGGTATTGATTTACATTCCAGAAAATGAACCTACAAAATATTATAAAGGTAATATTAGAACACCACTTTATTTCCCTTGAAAAACAACACTAAACTCAAAGAACAGTGATAATATTATAAATTTTATCAATTTCCAGTTAAATGTTTCAAAGCTAATTATTTAATAAGAACATTAAGCTCTCTTTTATAACAAAAGTTCTATAATTTCTCACTGAGCACACAATTTGTAAAACATAAAATACCAATATTCTATATCAATTTATATCACACTATAATATATAGAGTATATATATAATATCAATTCATCCAATATAATAACTTGTAATTTTAAAACTAATATAGATAAGAATATGTTTAAATATATGATTACACATTTAAGCTAAATATTAGAATATGCACATGTATTAAAATGTAAGGAACTATTTAAATATTAATCACAGAAAATTTGAAAGAATTATTTTTCAAGTAAAAAATGGGATTTCAACAAATATTGTTTTAGTTCTTAAAGTAACTTCAGATAAAGGTGCCTCCCTAGTTAAGACCTGGAATCTAATGCCCCAATAGCTGCAGCAAGACATGTTCCTACTTGTGATGTGAGTCTTCTGAAAAGATGACCAGAGAGCTGGTACTGCACATAGAACACTTGGTTTGCATGCAGCTCACCCAATTAGATCCCTGAAAGCAGATAAGGTTTCCAAACCCAGTCAGAAGTGATCCCTGAGTGCAGAGACTGGAGTAAGCCCTCAACACCACTGGGCGTGGCAAAAACAAACAGAGGCTCATCAATCATTTCCCCTGCTCTTCCCTTCTATTTTCTTCCCTCGCCCTTAAGAAGCCCACGGGGAAGTTGGGTGGAGGAAAGAGGTTCTATCCTACCTTTAGAGGATGACTTCAAGAGTTCAATTCAAAGAACAGTTTGAACATGTCCACTTTTGCTGAGCCATGCATTTTTCTACAGTTTTGAGCAGATTAGGATCATAATGGTTGATTCCAATCTTATGAGTTTGAAATATTGAATTAAATTTAGAATTGCTAGCAGGGAGCTTGACAGCAAAAAAACACGCTAATTCTTCAACTTAAGACAATTTTGAAAACTGTAGTCAGAATACATGGTTCTGAGCCCCATGTCAGCTAATGGACACTCTCCTTGGGGTTAAATGTCTCACAGAACTATGTCACTTTTCATCTGCATAATTACTTGTATTATTTAAATATCATGAAATTCTAGTAGTTATAATGCCCAATGTATTTTATATATGTTGAAAGCCCTGATTTAAGCAATGTCTTACTAAAACAAACTGTCTAGAAAGAAAGCTAGATACACATTTCTTATTTTATACACTGTAAATTTTCCTGACAAATTTTAGACTTTTTATGATCTCCTACCAAAAGTAGGAGCATAAGGAGGAAGTGTGTAGAAAAAAATAGTAAAAGGAACAAAAGACTAATTTGCTTAGCTATTGCAGACTCCATAGAGATTTAAACTGCACAGAAATGAAAGAATGGAAGTGCCTGCAATACATTAATTGGAGAAGGAGTAACGGATATGGCACAACTGGGAATGGAACTCAGCATGTAGAAGCTGCAATTAAAGTTGGCCCAGAAAGAAGAACAACCTGCCAAGAGTTGTGGAACCTCTAGGAAGTGAGAGCTGGGAGCAGGCATCTCACTTGAAATTTTCCTGAGAGTCTAAAATTAATTATTAATGTAGGCTAATTACATTAATTATTCATCATAGGAGTAAATAACAATTTTGAAAGTCTAAGAATGGTATAAGTAAAACTCGAGAAAAAATAAATTATAAATGAGAATATTCAAGGGATAATTAAAGTGTGCAAAAGCTGTGTTTTGGTTTGGAAGACAAAAATACAAAATTTTGTCCTTATTTAACTTATAATTGGAGACATAAAAAAGTAATGGCATTTATTTAAAGCAATGCACAATTATATTTCAGAGTTTCTGAACTTGCAGAGGAAGAGAAAAAAGGTGCAAGAGGAAAATTAAGTAGCCAAAAATGAACAAACAAACAAACAAAACAGTTGGGCTATAACAACAAATACAATAAATTTGTATGAGATAGTGTTATAGAATAATACATATACTTTCTCAGAATACTTCATAAATAGAAACAAAATTGTGTTATGGGATAAAATTACTCTTACAGAAACTTAGAAATGGATTTTAACCTTATAATATGTATAACCAGTTTGACAAAATATCAGCATGACAGTCGAATGTAACCCAAATATTTATTTATTTTACTCAGTGGAAAACACTGACAAATCAATGAAAAATAAAACTCTCCCACAGATATCATTTCAAATACTAATATGAAAAAACAAGAGCATATTACAGTACATGGTAAAAATAGTTCTGAACTCCAAAAAACATCAATTATCTATGTGTTCCAGAAAAAAAAAGTTGATATAACAGCACAAGTCTTACTTAGTTTTAAAAAGGGACAGGTATTGGTAAAGGGAAATGTGTTTGATATTTGCATGACTGAGACCTAAACCTGAAAGCTTTGTAAACTTTCCCACAGTGATTCAATAAATAAATAAATAAATAAATAAATAAATAAAAGAAGTAGTCAGATAGATATTCAAACGTCAACTTTACTACTTTATCACTTTAAAAAAAGTTCTTTAAATGATCTCTGCTTCTGGAATAGAGAAGGGACCACTAAGTAAATGATGCTTGAAGGGGTCATTTGGGATGAGAAATGCATGCTGAAAGTGGACTATGGACCAAACATGATGGCCACTTAATATCTGTATTGCAAACCATAACACCCAAATAGAGAAAGAGAGAGTAAGAGGGAATGTGCCTGCCATGGAGGCCAGGGGTGAGGGGTGGGATTGGGTGGGGGGTGGCAGGAGGGATACTGGGAACATTGGTGTTGGAGAATTGGTACTGGTGGAGGGATGGGTGCTCAATCATTGTATGGCTGAAAAGTAATTACGAACGTATGTCTGTAACTGTATCTCATCGTGATTTATTTAAAAAAAATGTTTCTCATGTGAAAAAAAAAAGGGGACAGGGCTATAAAATCACAACTGAGGATTGTGCAAAATGACAAGTCAGGAGAAATGTAAATGACCTTCCCTTAATTAAACAAATGAATAGCCTTCATCCAGTAGACATAGCAAAACATTTCAGTTACATTCCATTTTGTAGATTTGCTTAAAACTACCCCACACCAGGGAGATATGATTTAATTTCTTCTTGAAATATTCATAAATTTGCTAGATGAAAATAATAGTAAAAACAGTACTTCCAAACAGGATGCTATCTCTAAAAGTCTTTATTTATGCCTTACACAAAAAGGTAATTATATCTTCCTATTTCCACTACCCTTATAAAGAAGTTACACTTTTTGAAGGTAGTAAATTCCCTCATATAAACCAATAAACTGCTTAAACATTTAACATGTGGGTAGCTTCATGGCTCTGTGGGTGGGCGAGGTTCCTAGTACTCAGAATTTGGAAAAGTCTCTCTATGCCTTATGTCCAAAGTTCATTTCTACACATGCTTTATATTTGTCTAGTAACCATTTAACGTATCCCTGGTCCCAGATGAATCCCAGTTTTTTCTATTTTTTAAAATACAATTTTCACTTGCCTCTAAGGACAGGTACATTAATTAAAGAACAATAATTACTGCTGAGACAATATTGTTTAAAACATCAAGAATGCCCCACAACTCCACATTTAACACTTCTGTCTCATTCCAGAGTCCAAGTTCCCAAGAGGTCCTGAGAAGGGAATTAGGATTCAGGGTAGGAGGGAAATAGACTCTGTTTATTTAAATAAGAAGCAAATCAATTTGCAAAGCTTAAGTATATATCCAAATACTGCACTGCTTGCTTAATGACCACCAGAGTAGAAGGAAGGATACTTAAAATTTAAGTTCTGGTAATTATCAAAAAATTAAGTTAAAAAAATGGCTAGATAGACCAGAAGTTTTCTTTATCCACATAATAGATACTGCAAAATTATCTACATGTGTACAGAAAAATAAATTGTGTAAATTGAGCCCAAATCTTCAAACCATCACCTCTCAAAGAAGCATAAGGGAAATCTAATAATTGATGAAAAGGGCCAATACTAAGATCAAAGTAAGAGTTTATCTTAAGAATTTAAAAGGTTTAGGAAACCTTTCATCTCACTTCAATTATTTATAAATTACTTAGATTCCATTAATAAAAATTACTTTAATTTAATGAATTGTACTTTAAAAAGAAAAAAGAATCAACTTTTAATACTGAAACACTTCATTTTAGAACAAGTTTAAATCAATGCCATCATGAAATTCAACTTATAATTCTGATGAATAGAAGCTAATTAAGTTATAAACTATCATGGAAACTTAGAGTAAATGCTTAAAAACTCATTTGTAAATCTTAACAAAATAAAATGCCAGCAAAACTAGTAGATTGAGAAATAATAACATTCAACAAAAGGTAGTAAATAAAATAAAGTGTCTTTTGCCTTAAAACATTAATCATACAAAAGATTTTAGTGCTTCTATTGATCCAAAGGATTTAAAACTTAATGTTTTATAATATCAGTACAAGTGCTGTTTGTGTACACATTTTGTTTTCAATCCTTATTTAAAAGATCAAATAAGCAAGTAATGCAACCAGAAGCTCACATTAAAAAGTCAATAGAGAAATATAACATTACTTTGAAACATCTACAAAATAAATAAACTCACTTAAAAATAAACCATTTTTTCAAATTATTTCAGAAGGTACTTTCTCCACTGAGAACACAAATTTGTGTCCATTGTATTTAATACAGAGCATTAAAAGCTATCTAGCATTATTCAATATTTCCATAACCCTATAATTATTTGTTTTTCTATGAGAAAAGTCAGAAATTTAAGCTACCAATATAAAAAGTTAACAAAATATGTACATAGGTGGTTTTTCACTCAATGTATATTTCCTGTATTTATATATTTTGGAGACTTGTCAAATTTTTATTTTATGTGATCCATTTTTTAAAGCTTAAACAATCTATAACTAT